AAAAAAAAAAAAAAGAAAAATATTAAAAAAAAAAAAAATTTTATTAAAATAATAAAAATTATAAAAAAAAAAAAAAATATAATTTAAATATTATATATAAAAAAAAAAAAAAAAAAAAAAAAAAAAAAAAAAAAAAAAAAAAAAGTAAAATTTTTCAAAAAATTTTTAAAAAAAAAACTATATATTAGAAAAAAAAATAAAACAAAAAAAAAAGTAACTGCTTTAAAAAAAGGTTATTAAAAAAAATATATAGATTTTATTATTAAAGAATATATAAGTTTTAAAATAGATTAATAATAGAATTAGTAAAAATATTTAATTTTATTAATATAAAATTTTTTATAATAAATTTAATTATTTTAAATATATATAGTATATACTATATATATATATATATTTTTTAAGGTAAATGAGTACTTAATGCCATGGTTTTTATTGAATTATTGTATTCGAATCATATATTACAATCTTATATATGCTAATATATTTTAAATATTTTCTAAATTTCTAAATTATTTATTATTATTTATATATTTTTAAATTATTTTAAAAAATTTTTAAAAAATTTTGATTTAATTTGTAAAAATAATTTATAGATTATAATTTTATTTAATAAATAAAATAATCAATATATTATTTATATGAATTGTATATAGAAATTTTATATTATAAAGAATAAGTTAAATTAAAAAGATTTATATTATATATAATATAATTGTTTTTTATTTATTAAATTATAATAAAAGACTTGTGGATCTATAATACAGTAGATAGTGCTTCCAGGTTTTCAAACATACAGTATATCTTTAGTTTAATATCTACAGGAGACAAATGCACAAAAATTATTATTTATTTGTAAATTTACCAGTTTTTCTATAAATGTCATATCCAAAATATCTGGATCTAAACAAATTTAATTAGGTTATATGAAAATAAAATCTCTGGTCTTTCTGATAATCATGAACTAAAACAGATCGAAATAAAAAAGGTTTTACAAAAAAGTTTCTGATCTAACACCAATAAAAATTCACAATCCTCCCTGGCATAGCAGACTCTATAGCATAAAAAATATTCTAGTCTAGGGCTATTCCAATTTAATGCTTGCTTAAAAGAAGAAAAACTAATAATAAGGGAAATCTGAAGCCACAAGTGGTAACAAAGAGTATAGTATTTTCTTTAAGGATTCAGATAAAAAGTATTGAATAGATTATCCAAGTGTTTTATTCAATCCTAAAAGGTACTGTATATACTCCAAATGACAAAGCCAGGATCTAAATTAAGTTAAATAATTTAAAACTAGTAATAGGATTTCTATTCCCTAAAGATTTTATTCAATAAGTCAAATTATCTTTTTAATGATAAAACTTGATATTACTAAATAAGGCTATAGGTGAGAGAGTAAGTTAACTTAATGAATCTTTATATATACTTGGATATAATTAACTCAAGAATAAAATACATATGCTATTAGCACTCTTCACCCCTTCAAAAAAAAAATTAAATTATAATAAAATTTTTTTAATTTTTTTATTTTTATAGTTAAACAAATATATATATATATTAAATTTTATAAAAAACAAATAATATATAATATATATGACCTATCCGGTCATAGTTCAGTAGGCTAAGACAGGGTAGGGCTAACCTATGACCCACAGTTCAATTCCAGCTGAGGGACAATTCACATATCCCAAAAATAGGGACTTTGTGTCACTGCCCCTATAACTCGTGATAAAGAGTAATTTGGATTGTTCCAGTGATCAAAGAACCTTATGGGTAGACTATACCCCATAGGTCGAAAAGATAGATGATTTGATTGATAAACTTTCTGATCAAGTATTGCCCGGGAAATATCTCCAAAAGGAAAAAGAAGTTTCATGAGATCTTTTTGGTAGTGGAAAGAAAGGTACAAATGGCTAAAACCATTAGTCGCATAACTATCAGTAAGAGTCTCACATATCCAATGGTAGCAGAATCTGGTCGGGGGTGCAGGAGGTTGCTTGTATCACAGGATGTTCTATCCTAAGGGATACACTTGCAATAATTGACTGCATGACCCTATAAAATGTAACCCCCATATGTGTTGCTAGGCTAAATTAGGAAGGGTAAGACTGGGTCCAATTTCCAGATAAATTTGATGTACTGGTGTACCCTCATTCTATCAATGATATCTTATTAACTAAAATCCTAGTAAGTCTTGGTTAAACTGAACGGTTGAAATACTGTAATGGTGGCTGTAGACTTTAGTATCAAGCATTCTAGCATGGACTGCTTGCTTTGATATAGCAACTTACTCACTTCCATATCTATACTTAGAGGCTTAGGTCTGAGACGAGTATTTAGAATCAATCACCCATGACCATTAAAACACATCCCGAAGAAACACCAGGAGGCTACAAAGGTGGTATGGTGGATCTTGAGTTGGCATTGGGAAAAAAAAAAATAATAATAATATATAATATATTATATTGTATAAATTATTCTATTGCCTTAAATATTTGTTTTAAATTATATCTTTAGATATAACTTTAGAAATAAAGAAAGATTATTACTTATAATTTATTAATATAATTTATTTAACCAAAATTTAAATTATTGTATTTTTAACTATTTATTTATTTTTTTAATTTACTTTCAAATTAATATTTTGTTTTGATTTGACTTTGATTTGACTTTTCTTTAATATCTTTTTTTGATTTATAGAATTTCTAATTTTATGTTTTTTATATATTTTTTTTAATCTTAATATAATTATTTTTTCTATATTATTTTGTTTTTGATTTTTTTTTTAATTTTTACAATTTTAAAACATCTGTTTTATATCTTTTTTTAAAAACAGATTTTAATAACTTACTTAGTAAAAGTTTTGTTTTGCTATTTTTTATTTTTAGTTTTACTATAGTTAATATTTATTTCATATTATTTTTTTGAAAAAGCTTTAAACAAATATCTATAATATTTTTTTTTTAAAGAATTTGTTTATGTACTATTTCTGTAACAGTGTATAAATATTAATTATAAATATTAATTTTTTCTTTTTTGAGTATTTTTTAATTACTTGTTAAATACTTGAACTTGAACTTTGTTTTAAAATTTTTTTTGAATTTTCAAAATATTGAAATATAAAAGAAAGTATTCAAAAGATTTTTTTTCTTTACAATGTAAACAATTAGTTAAATCCTTATATTTCTTAGAAAATTATTTGTTTATATTATTCAAAGTTGAAAATTTGTTAATATAATCTTATTTATTATTACATTTTTTTATATAAAAACCTATAAATCTATAATATAGTAGCAATGTTTCATAGATTATCAAATATAAGATCTTGAATTAAAATTCATTTAGTTATAAAATATACTGTATATTACAATCTAGTTAAGTTATATAAAGATAAAATTTCTAGTTCTTTTAATAATAATGAGTTGCAACAGATTATAAAAAGAAAAAATTATAAAAAAAAAAGACTTTTAATTTAATTTCAATTAAACTCTATAATTACATTATACAAAAAAAATAACATATTTAATATTACGAATTGGACTGTACTATCTTAACTAAACGTTCAACTCTTCTTAATAGTGGATTTAAATATAACTTGGGATATTTCAATTCTGTACAGAGCTTAAAAGTTTATACTTGCTACAGATGATATAAAAAATCTTGACTTATTTAAGCTTAAAATTGAAATAAGTTATAATTTAAGGCTCAAGCAATAAAAAAAACAAAGGTATCTAAACCAACTTTTCTAATTAAGACTTCTTTATTGCATAAATTTAACCATACTGTATATTAAAAAAAATTTTTTTAATTCAACTTAAAAGGCTCTATTCTTTGATTTAATTAAATCACACTTCATGACAATGGTTTATTTAATAATAGAAGGATAATAATATACAAAAAAATTTGTTATTTTATCAAATTACATGTTTGTTTAGATTATATCTTTTCAATTTCGAGTCATATCATCTAAGCCTGGTATGAAGACGAACTCACTTTACCACCATGACCTGTCCAGTTGACATGAATATCGGTATTTTTAGGGTGAGTTTCATCTTCGCACTCGTCAAGGTATTGGAAAGTATGGGCTCCGAAATAATCTCTCATCGCCTGAAGTAAACTCGCAGGTAGCCTATCGTGTCTATAACCATCATAAAATGACAATGCAGTAGACAATGCCGGTGTTGGAATTCCGAGCAAAACTGCTTCTGCAACAACTTGACGCCAAGATTCTTGGGAACGCTCAATAACATTTTTGAAAAATGGATCAAAAAGTAGATTCTCGAGGTTTGGATTATTGGTATATGCGTTTTTTATATCACCCAGAAAGGCGCTAAAGAAAAGATTCGTATTAATATTTTATTATTATTTACTGAATTCAATCAATACCATGTGACGACAATAATGATAAAAAGAAAGTGCCAAAGCCTACCTGCGAATAATACAGCCACCTCGCCACATTAAAGCGATGCCGGCATAATTCAAATTCCAAGAATTATCTTTTGCTGCTTCACGCATGAGCATGAAGCCTTGGGTATAAGAGATTATTTTGGAAGCATACAAAGCTTGACCTAGCTTTTTGACAAAAGCTTGTCTATCACCAGAAAATTTTGTATTTTGAGGGCCCTTCAAAATTTTGCTCGCACGAACACGTTCCCCTTTCAAAGCTGAA